TGAACTTGCTTATGGGCTACGTATTTTTGAGCAACAAGTTGGATGAAGGTTTTCATATCGCCCGTCGAACAGGCGTAGTCGAGCAACCAGAGGAGACCTGTGTTGGAGTCGGCAACGGGGCCTCTCTCACTGCTGTTCCAGGTTGCGGTGAAATCGTCGTCAGATTGGGAGAGCGGAGTGCTGCAGCTGTATCTAGGCGAGTTGTTGGCTCCGAGCACAGTCGGCCTTGGCGTAAACAAGGCTTTGCGTTGCGAAGAGCACTAGTGGATGTCACAAAATATGAAGCCAGTGTGATGTGGGGACTCTCAACTCACTTGCACTTTGAACCTACGACTTCTGCATTTGCTTGCAAGTGTACCAGTGGAAAGTTACCCCTTTCTTCCCATATCTAACCATAGACGTACGGCAGACGACGAAATTCACACACGAATGTTCTCGACATTCGGATTAGCATTGCTTTGATTCGGTTTAACCAATATTGATGAAATAAAAGGCACATGATCTTTGGCTAGGTCCTTATTTTTTGAAAAAATCTAGAAATTTTGCAAATAATACCTTCAAAGTTCGGTTGTAATGCAACGTGCATAAGCCTTTTGACGAAATTTGGTCACTTAGTGCAGTTTATGATGTCACATTAGGCAAGCTATACCAATTGGAATGGAGGTTATGAACACCAATCATGACCTCACGCATTTCGTTGCCACGACTCATGAAAAAAAAAAGCAAATGCTAAGCAAATGTGATAGGCTTACTGGATTGTTCGGTGGGTTGTCAAAGAAGGCGAGGAAATCGAGGTCTGAACAACTGATGTTTCCGCTGTCATCCTAAGGTGAACAGGAAGGAGAAAACATTGAAGGCGAGTGGCGCAAGACGTGTGGGAGTGCAAAGTGATTACATTCGAAAGAGAATTGTCGAGTGGTACTATCGATGACGACTCAGGTGAGGACGCTTTGAATTTCACACGTTTATACTGAATCGGTGATTTAAAGCAGCCTGCATAACACCTTCATCTGTGTTGGCTTCCTACAAGACCATATGTAACTTGGGCTTGACCTGGAGCAAGTAATGCAAAATTGCAAAAAGTTGCGTGCATTTAGGTAGCAGGCATCAATATTTACGCTAAAAGAAAGAAAATTTAGGGGTTGGTAATTGCATCGTTTTGTATCAACTTTTAAACCAAAAAAGTGGCGGAAATTGTGGGGACCGGTGGTGAAATTCCTCATGTATTTACGAACCGCACGACACGGTCGATTGTACCAACGAAGCAGAATTGTGCAGACAGTGGAAATTCCTCATACTTGTAAACACCTACCGCGCTTACTGTGGTCACGCATTTGATGAAATCACCAGAATTTATAAATTTCCTCTTACTAAGACAGAAAAGACAATTGGTGATAAAATCAGCTCGAGAAAACTCAAAGATGATAGGGAATTGTCTGAATAGGCTTTAAAGGCTAAAAATGGTTTTGAGTAACTGTAATAAAAATAGCTGGGTGCGTTTCGGCTCGAGATGCACGCCTGGAAAGAAAGGAACTAGATTAAAAATCGTGAGTAGGAAGCAAAGTGAGTATATTTACAGCTTGGCTTTGGCAGTCGCGATAGAGTTGAAGTAAGCACTCATTAGTATAGTTATAGAGCAAATCTTCGAAGCTACCGCCAGACACTCGACCACCGTCCTCGGGCGTCTGCAGTCCAGGAGGATCAACGACGAAAATCCGGGCTGACCGACTTGGCGAATTAATGTCGGATGCTGAGCGCATCACCGAAGACGACGAATTCAGGGCCCTGGAATAACAAAAGACACAGATTTACATCACATTGATGGTCGAAATGGTCGTTTCAGCCCTTACAGGAAACAATACATGGGAAGATTTTAAGTACCACCGACACAACCTCCATTCAAGCGTGGACGACGAGTCTGAGAAACTTGCGAACAACTCAGATCTCTCAAAAGACCTAAGCAGTCAGTTGTCCCTTAATTCTATCGAGAAGTTGTTTAAACTACCTGTCATCTGTCAGTTATTATGCAATTGTTGAAGTAAAAAAGCACGGAAAACTGCACGAGATTCCTTAAGGGGCAAAGTAAATAGGCATATTGTCTTTGATCAGCCTTTAAGGAAACTTGCACGCTAAGGACAGTTCAGCAAATATCCCTCCATTTCCACGTATTTGTACTAATCTTAACACTACCGTTCCACACAAACAAACAACTAAAGGCAACTTTAGGAACCATAACAGTAAAATCTGCTTCGAAGTAATTAAATAAGGGAGAAGTATAGGGCCACTCTTACTTGTTGATATTATCCCGTAGCGTGGTCGTGGCAATGGCATAGAGATTCGCAACAAATCCACCAAGAAGGTCCAAATTGCTTGCAGACTCCGATGCGAGCGAGTCCATAGCCTGAATCGACTGACCAGAGGACACACTTGGAGTTCGCGGAGACTCTTCATTGCCGAAGACGTCTGCTGTGAGAGCATCAACTGAGGCTGATCCAAGGAGGTGGGCTGCCCGCTCCGCTGCCGTGAGATTAATAAAGCGACGGGTGGTCGAGGTTTGAGCCTGGGGCGCAGTGGCACCTGCGCAACCAAGGTGGTAAATGGCCGCCAACAGCCGACATACACAGCTGTTGAATACTTCTTCAAAACCGGTACCAAGAACTCGTGCCGCCTGAGTAACTGCCTGCCACCGAGATTTAGCCAATGATTGGTCTTCCGGCTGCGGAATAAATAGCATATATGCTAGCGTACTGCTTTGGATTAATTGTCGCTTGACAGTTTCTCGAATTCAAACGCCAAAAAGACTAAATAGCATGTTTTGCCACATAGAACGAGTGCACGTAATAACGGGCTTCACTGAGCACAAGTGCTAGTAGCATAGATTCGGAACGGGGCTACACTCAGAAGCAAATGAGGCAATTGAAATAACAACAGAAAATCAACTCGCTTCTAAAAATAACCATCATGACTTTGCCTTTGATTTGGCTAGTGCCCTGACACATGTGAAATACGGTTGACAGCAGGTGTCAGCAAAACAAGCGTGGGATCATCAACTGGTATTACGAGGACACGAGTTATCTAATACCAGTACAATGACAAGGCGATGCCTCAGATAAGACCATCTTAAAGACGAGCACTGATTCTTCGCTTCCCGAAGCATTGCATGTCAATAGTACTTATATGTAGGGTACCGCGAAAGGCCAGATTTGTTTTAAATACGTTTTTTTCCAGTCAAACAGAGATAGGTGGATTCCATCTACACAGAACCAAGCTTTGTGTGTGCGAAAGTGCTGTTACGATTCTACCAGGTTTTGTGAAATGCTGAAGTGGTGAATTGGTGCGCACGCTCACACGTGCGTAATGCGCTAGCGAACGATCGACGAGATGACTAAGCCACCGACTGACGCTTACCCAGAGGTTTTTTAAAGGAAGTGCGTCCGTCTGGGGCATAGTGAGCTTTCACTTTATCATCATTTCAAAAAATTTTTCCCATTAAGAGTTAAAAGTGCGGGTGCTTGCGAATCACCTAGACTCCAGCATACTTTAAGAGCACAGAAATGCTATTTACGCAGATAAGCCAGATTCACACGCAGAGTTGCTTCAGACCAGCCCCTGCAAGAAGGAAACAATTTCGCTTAATGAGGGTAAGCGGGACAAATGATTAGCCTAAGCTCTTTTCAACAAAGACACCGCACGTTGAAACTCAAACTTTGTATCTTTACAAATTGGGAAAAGGCCCTGCTGAATTCAGACTATCTTTTGGAGGAGCCCAGTTTGGCTCAGTGTCTGCGTTTCACAACAATGAACACACGGTCACACGTCACGATCACGCATGCGTCACCAATGTCCGCTGTTCAGAGGGCCGCCGGCGGAGGCGTATAAGAAGCGTGTCCCGATAGACTAACTTCACTAGCCCCTGCCTCGCGTTAGTCACTGCTCACAAGTTTTCCGAATAAGCACATACACACGACAGCCCATCGCGCTTATTAACTGAATAAACGGTTGTGTCCGTTTGGTTCTGTTGTCCTCCCGACACCTCCGTTCTCGGGTTCAATGGGTGATCGAGTTGTAATCTGCCTACAACGACGGATGGAGTCACAGAGACAAAAAAATCGTATTTTTTTCCAAGAATTCATCTGCAAACTGCGACTCATAGCAACGCGCAGCAGTATGGGTATATCACGCGAAGAAACGCTAAATACATACAGCCTGGAAGGGCATATCAAAAGTACAAACTAGTTCGAGAAATATCAAGCCGAGCCGCGGGAAAAACAGCGCAATGCTTCGGTATATGGGAAGTACTCACCTTTTGAAGAGGAGTCATAAAAAGATTGGGGAAGGAGAGATCTTCCAGCATGTACTCCCGCCTAAAACGAAGTAAGCAAATGAAAGACTTCACACAAATGGTTGTATTTCACCTTACAACTAACAAAATTCCTAATTTAAGACATCTTATTAGGTCATCTATCCATTCCTAGAAATCACTAACTGATTTTCCCTTACTGCACATTCAATGGATCCAAAAATGAGATTTCAAAATAAGGAATGCGAAATAAGTGTGCTATCAATAGATACTTTCGAACAGGTCCCCACAACAGTGACTTGTGCTTGTGACTAAAAACAGGCACAAGTGAGGACCAAAGTAATCATTGGGCCAAAGCATGCCGTTAAATTAGCACATCACAATGGGCTCATGAAATCATTTTTCGGGGAGTCAGCAACGGTGCTCGTGTGCAAAATAATTGCCAAAACTACTGCCATTTTAGAGACGAGGTAGCGTAATTAAGTCTGCAAAACGATAATTTCACGGAGACGATAGGGTTATTAGCTTCGTTTTAATGTAAATTCACTTTACATGTTTGCATATCAACCTTATTACACACGTTCGCTGTAAACAGAGCTGTTTAAACAAAGGTTTACTTGCATGGTTTGTCAAAATAGTCCGCCCATGGAATTCGTGACTAATAAAAACGCGTAACACTTAATGGCAAAATGTTCCTTGGGGGGGAAGAACGGAAATGTGAAGAAAGATTACGAGTTACCGTCGAAACAGCACCAAGTATTCATTTTTTAGAGCAGGATATGTGCATTCACCGAGAGAAAAAAAACATGAAGTAATTGTGAAACAATGGTAGTTTGGCATTCTAAGTACCTAGTTCTTCTCGTTTGACCATAGAATCTGAAGTATTAAATTTCCATAACCAAAATTTTGACAGTATTTGCAATGGATTAGGCAAAACCTTTCGGGATACCATTAAAAAAGATCTTTAACAACTTTTGCCACGTTCCCTTAACAAGCAACGAGAAACGCTCAGACAAGAACGGCAAATATCCGCTTAATTCAGGTAGCTTTCCAAATAAATTAACAGAGAGATATACTTACCGTGCTTTGTCCTCTAAACCAGCCAAAAAATAGTAGAATATATGAAACGTTGGTTCGCCCATAGGTCGCCGAGTGACACGGAACTTGTCCAAGAGAAGAAGGTCAATGAGTAGACTCGAAGGGTTTAGTTGTACGGAAGAATCGGAGTGGATTTCGGCAATTAACTCAATGGTAAACAGGCGCAAACACCGGCTAGCATTGGAGTTCAATAGCGTTCGCGAACATGTGAAAGCATCCAGGAGGCACATAACTGCGCGAACCTTTGAGGCTTTGATACAACAAGAAAAATAAAGTCACCGGGGGGACTACAAATCCATTCGGCTAAAAAATGATTTGGCTTAATAGCCAGATTTCTTTTCACTGATTAGACTGCAGTATCACACCAGCGTTGAGATAAGTTTACATTGTTTTAATACATAATTAAGAAAAACATGCCTTTTTGGAATCACAGACCAATGAACAAATCGAAGTTACCGACCAAATAGGCGTAGTGTAAGATGAGATTGCATATGAGGAACCTTACAACAAAATTCACGAACCAGGTAAAACTACTGTTACTAGGTAAAACCAGTGTGGCTTTCTGATTCTAAAACTTAGGTTACCTGTAGAGATAAAAAGAGCCGGAAAATTGCTGCACCGATTTACTAAACCGATGATTGATTCTGTTTGACTAAGGAAATTTGCTTGCTTGTTAATAGGCTGAATTTGAAATCTTATGAGTTGGTAGCTACCAATCAGTTTAGGCTCAAAAATATCAGACGGAATACAAATCAAAACCTACTTAAACCCAAAATTGTACTATGGTCAATCATTCGTCCTCACCTAGTTCGGTGAGACGCAAACACTAAACAACAAGAAGGAGAGTTTCGTATAGGGTGCGCCCGATAAAAAGTGCTGCATTTAAGATGCAAATTTGAACAATATGCTTCAATGGATGATGATGAAACACACTTTAGCAGTTAGAAAATCTGTATGGGAATTCTGGAGTAGAAATAAGGGAGAACTAACCATCTATTTCAGAACCTGGGGCAGATTGAGGAAAGAAGTACTCGACAAGATGTTCGGTGTTGATGGACTTTCCAGACCCAGACCGACCGAGAACACAAATAGCTTGAGTGGGCACTTTTACTGGTGCTGTGGACGCAGCTGAAACCCCATCAGTGGTGATCGAGCAAGTTCTTTCGTCACCCGAAGCCTCAAAGCATTCATCGGCGGCCCCAAAATCTCTCCGAGCAATGAAAGCTCGTTTCAGATTGGCCAGGGCAGTTTGCGCTACTGAATAGATGTGTGGAGGCATGTCGAGACGGTTTTCGCATTTAACAAACAGCTCCTTCACCTTAAGACGACACATAATCAAAGCAACAAAATCTCACTAAATTAAGAAAGTAATTAAACTGTGCAGTGTAAAATTCGTCAATTTACGTGACAGATCCGACCCACTTTAACGCAAACCTCACAAAAGCTAATCGGAGATAATAAGTCAACGGACGCTTAAAACATTTTCCGTGGACACCAGAGGTAAAATTATGGCTGCTGTACCATGATATTATGCTAATCAGATCAGAGCTGCTGAGAAAACGTTTAGACATAATTCCAAATTTCAAATGACAATCAACGAATGTGTTATGCTTAATGCAATATACTTTTGTGGAAAAAACATTTAAAATTACAAAACCAACAACTGAACACTTCTATGTTTTGATTTATTAAACTTTACAGCATTTTTTTCGGTAATAAGATCTCTAGGTTGAACTGGGAATGAGACAAAAGTCCACAGAACAAGGAGTTAATTTGCCATACTACGGCTTCTTACTTCCATTGATAGCCTTTGCAAGAGGGTTATACACCACTAAGGATGTTAAATTATTGTGAAATAAGTAATAAGTTTAAGGGAAAAAGTGACACGTTTAGATCAGTATTTAGCTGGTAGGGGCAAGAAGCAAACGAAAACAGCAGAACAAAAAGCCTCTTTGTGGTCCCCTATCTTATTCTCAATAGACGACCAATCCAATTAATCTCGAGCTTTATAATCAAATTTCCATTTAAAAGTGGGAAAGTGGCTTACGAATTCGTCGTAAATATCAAGATTGCGCATTGGATTGAAGGCAATAAGAGCAAAGTCGCCGGCGTAGGTATAAGGCAATGAAGTAAGAAATCGAGCATGGAGGTTGTAAACCAAAGCTGGTTCGTTAAGGTGCTGCATCAACATCAGATCCTCAATTCCCTCAAGCTTCTTAGCGTTGGCCTACAACATTCGAAGTTTGACTAAGGCTTCGTTTTAGTACGTCGCCAGGTAAAAAACGAGACATTGGACTCCGTGGAGTCACCAACATTGCCTATGGGCAGATATTTGGTTCATAAGGTAAGAAAACACAAATCACACAGCCGAAGTTCCAATTGTTGTTTTCGCGTTTTTGAACATATTTTGGCCAATTGTAGTTTTGTGTTGATTAGGCCTACGGGCATAAAACTAGCAGATCAGTGTATAAAAAACGCTAGAGCTATTAAGGGAGGTAGACAAACTCGAACACGAAACCAGCAACATCAAAAACTTAAGGATCGGGGTTTCTGTTACCGAAATACAGTCTTGTAAGTTGACATGTGGCCAATTCAGTGGTGTGATATTCATTTATACTTAGTGAAAACGATATTATAGCACCTAAAATTGAATTGCGTGATAGAAGGAAGCACCAAGAAGTGTTTTGAGAATGTTTACATAATGTGGTAGCGAGTGTGAAATCAACGCTAGCACATTTTGGTAAATTAGGAATCCTAGCATATCTACTGATTCAGATATTGAAGGTCACAATCACTCGGAGGGTAAAAATAATGCCTGAATTACCAGTAGTTACAAATATAGACTACCGACAATGTAACGGGTACCCAAACTGACATGATAGCTCGGCAGTTCCTGACCCTGACCGATATCAGACCACATTTCGGGTATTTCACGAATTACTTGTCAGCTATGACTCACAAGGGAATTAATATGTGCTTAATTTTTGAATTACCAATCATGTTACGTAGCCATGAATGCTTGATTGCAGAATCATGAAACACTTGGGAGTTTCGTCAAGTGCAAATTAATACGATGCTGCCAAAAATAACTGCATTCGTTGACAGAGTTGAAGGTAATGTCCTGATGCTTGGCACAGACACACACACACACACACGAAAACGCACCCACTGCTTCTACTTGACCTTTCACGAAAAATACGACCCAATAAAAGAGACCACATGAAACAGTGTTACAATCTTCCAACTAAAACATGACGATAGCGTGTGCACATACATGCGAAGACACAAAACTAAAAGACCAATGCCCATTAAATCACAAAAGGCCTGAGTGCGAAAGTGAAATAGCTACGAAAGAAAGCATTCGACTAAATGCTTTTAGGATAAGTGTTCATCTTTCGAAAGAAACACACATTCCACCATGCATTGATCAACATCAAAAACTTAACAGTTGTAACTAAATCAACATCCGATGTAAGTGGCCGGAGAACACCACATTTACTAAATTCCCACAAATTAAACTTTTACTGGAGATCAGTATGCACCCAAAGAGAAAAAAATGTTTTAGGTATCGCCATAATGACTGGAGGCATGATTGGCAGTGTGGTCAGTACATTTTAAAATGCAGGTATTCAAAGATCCAGTTAAATGGCATTCGGGTTCAGAAGTATTTAAACAGTAAGTCATGAACTCACTCGGCTTATATCGTCTAGTGATACGCGCAGTTGCTGCCTTCCTGGAGACAAATGAATCTGATATGTACCATCAGGAAACTTTTCAGTAATTGAGCCAAGCGAGTAACCATCTCGATGCGAAACAATCACAAGATCATTGACATTACACAGACTTTTATGCTCTGAAGTCGAATCACGTAGAACATGAAGATAGACCTAGTGTGTATAAACAACAAAATTTAACTAGAGCAAGTCAAAATCTTCACACAAACAATGGAAGATTTAATGAGACGCTTGAACTCTCCAAACTTAGTAAACTCTCAGTGAAAGTAAAAAAAGTAATTTCCTTTACCCGAAAACATGACTAAGGAAACAAAGTACTTACCTGCCTTATTATTTCGTTAAGCAAATTAAAACTTCCAGTCTCCTTAATCCAATGTCGCAAATTAAGCCTTCGCAACAATCCATCTTGTTTTTTTAGAAGAGAGTCGAAATAACACCGATTAGTACAGTCTCCGGAGACGGAAAACAGTCGTTGTAATTCAAATAAGCAAGATGGGTCAATGTCAATCGCCCGCACTGACCATTCAATGCTTTCTTCGGAGGGCACCACTACAAGTTTAACTTCTGGGGGACCATTGGGAGATAACTTGGAGTTCATGTCATGAACGCTCTGCTGTTGAATATCTACATCATTTATTGATAAAACTACGTCCCCGGGAATCACTCCTAGAGAGAAATCGGCAGAATTGAACTTCACAACCACCCTCTAGTAAAAAAAATACAACCAGATATTTTTTACAGATAAAAATACAACATAAGGAATTATAGTATAATACATACAAAGTTGTTGGTTATAAATTATATGCTGGTAGATAATTCTGATAATACTCTACTGCAATGGGATGTGAAACTGTGGCATACTGTGCAGCTAAGATATACATAAAGAGGTTTCACAACAGATAATTACATGAAAAAAGCCACAAAAGTAAAATATCTAAAGATGTCCGAGGCCTTAAGAGGGGGAGCAATGAAATCATTGCATTTTTAAACCCGCACATAGATCATGGAGAACAGTACCAGCATTGTAGGGACAATAAATAACACAGCAAAATTGCTTTTTTTTAAAGAAGCTAACATTTTGCGTTGTTTAAAATGAGACACCAAAATCCCCGGTAATCAATGAGAGCACAAATGTGCCACAAAAGTTGAAACAGAGAGTTATCAAAGAGAAATTTTCGACAAAATTAACGGCAGTAGCTTAAATTAATTTATAAATGTGTAATTACTTTAATTAAAGGAGGAGTAACAAGGCAGTTTAAATGTTTTCAACAAGCAAGCCAAGAGAAGACCTATTGTACAACGAGTGTCACTACATCACCCATGACCATGAACAAAGTCCGATGAAAATCTCAAATACTAACGACATGGCTACATGTCAATGCATTTAGTAAAATGTTTGCTTACAGTAAGAGAAGACGGTCGTGTATTGAACTAAATTTAACCTAATTCAAACGTGATTGTGCAAAGTGCGTTTGATTTGATATTGCACAAACAATCACCGAAGAGGAGAAAATTTTGACATTAAACAAGGGAAATTTGTTACAAAAATATGCAAGACAGCAGTTTCAAAAAAATTAGGCGAACCAGGTTTGCAACACATTTATCATAATCAATGAATGTCTGTGCGAAGGGCAAGCCTGTTTGAAAGCCGAACGACAAGGCGCAAAACCTGCTTTGTAGATAAGCGAAAAAAAATGACAACTTTGATAAATGCCGTGGTTTAAGCAATGAAGTTACATTATAAAAGAATGGGGAGGTGGAAAATAGGAATATTCACAGTAGACATGATAAAAATTTACCTGTCACAATTGACCATTAAAGGCTCGGTAAGTGCAAATGATTTCTGCTCTAGATCAAAATTGAGAGTTGCTTTTCATTGAAGAAAAATAGACCGGAGACAAATGTTTTTACGCCCTATGGAACAGGCTACTTGTTGAAATTGAGAAAACAAACACACTTTGCACATCTTTCAATAAGATGAGTTCGTCCACAAAAAAAATCACAGCCTAAGAATATCTTAACAACAAGAGGAGCAAACAGATGCGCTGATGACGAAGGTAGCATGCCAATGAAGTGCATTCCACGATCACATGATCTGACAATGCGTGATTTTCTGTTGAGCTAAGTGAAAAAACTGGTTTACGTCCCACCATATATTACTATGGGAGAAAAGCTAATGAGAAGAATAAGTGAGATTTTTCAGACTGCTAAAACGAGTGAAACAGGAACTAGGACACCAGCATACAAATTAAACGAACGTGATAACTTCGAGGCATTGCAAAATTTCCGTCTAAGATTTACTGGGAATTCAGTAAAAAGCAAAAATCAACTCTATTACGCTGAATCATCCCTATTAAACCCACTTTTATATAAATACCTACAAAACGCCAGGTTGTTAAGGATATTCAGCGTATAAGGCCTACCTGACGTACGCTCGTCTGATCAATTTCAAATAAAAATCCAAGCTGCGACGTGCAATGCTCTCGGTTAAAAATTATGGTATATGGAGGGCAGTGCTTTACTGTAAACTCGGGAAAAGGAAGCCGCGTTCTTAAACTCGGAAATCCGGGCGGTGTGCATTCAGCACGAGTTTCCCCCAGTACACAGAATGCATTTCCTACCAAGGATTATAAGAGCACAAAAAAGTACCGAATATTTGTTCATGCACTTTTTGCACTGCTTCTTTAGTAATTTTTGTCACCATTATCGATCTCTACAAAGGGCTGATTCTAGATACTGCCACCAAATTCACATGTCCAAAAGGATCAAACGGACGCCGAAACATTGAAACCAACCAGGTACCACCTTAGGACAACCACGTATTTTTTATGTAAATTAACAAATTTTGTTGCGACGTCAAATGTTGCAAATTAAAATTAAAAGCAATTACGTAGAGGATATTATCTGATTTAGTTTAAGTCAGAAATATGATGCAGATTTAAGACTAATCCAAAGTGCAGAATTCACTCTTGATTACAGCTCTAATTCTACTTTAGATAGGCTTTAAGTAATATAATTAATTAGACAAACGATGCCCAAACTGGTACAACTAATATCAGCGGTAAAAATCTTATACTTTTCTCTGGGAAAAAAATATAACACCCGCTGGTTTGCCCTTTGATTTGTTAGTAAAATTTTCCTCTATATTCCTATAACATTACTTGGAGAACAGAGAAATGTACCTATGTGTTGTGGGCCCCAGCATGTGTTTTTGAACCAGTCCGGGGTCTCGGAATTAACCCTGGCCCGAATGCGTTTCCGTGATATCCGCGATGAAAAATAGATCGGAGAGGATGTGGACACAGAGCTCAGCCACGTTGCTGTCGTGGGTGGCATTTGCACCTGTGTGTATATGCCTCTGATGTGTGAGTCATGCAAGAGCTAACATCGAGACATACGTGTAAGGATAAAACATTGTAAACATCCGTGCGGATAAAGAAAAGTTGAGCATCCGCGCTTCTGGCGACACGCTTCGGACAGAGGAACCCTATGTCGGTGGTGTGGTGACCGGAAACTTGAGGTATCAAAAAACACCGTTCAGAACATATACATATGTATGCATATCCATCAAATCCGATGCCTTAAATTCTGTATGCACATGCTATACCCGCTATGTATTCAGCTTATCAGTCACACATTCAACGTTTCTATCATGAAAACCAAAACGTTTTCTTCAACAACTTTTTGATGCATGCCATATTTTTTATACATAGCGGTGTGACAGCACACCAATAAGTTAGATGATTTAATAAAGGCTTTCCTTTTAGTCCTCTTCTTTTCCTTTATATATTTAGAACTGTAATTTCCTACAGCGGAATTCAATAAGGTATGCACATTATAATTTAAAAAGCTTAGGTATGTAAAATAAAATTGTGGACTGAGACTAGCACGGTTATATTTACCAAAATGCACTATTTTTTTTATTTTTCGAATTTGAAGTAGTAAAAATTTATACCTTGCAGTTTTATTGCTTCGCAGGCATTCATTATTTAAATTTGATAACTAATTAAGCTGCTTAATAGTCATCGTCAGCCTTTGATCAATGTGATCTATATCCAATAAATTTTTGTAAAGTACGGTGAATCTAATTGACATTAATCAAAATAATTGTTCAAAAAACATCGCATGACCATAACACAGCAGTCATGTTTTCGTCAAATACAACTATTCAGAAACATTTTTTTGAATTGTAATCTTTTTTGTTATATATATACTACCGCTTAGTTATGTTTTAACAAAATGGACTTTAGATTTAAATTATCCAAAAAATATTCCTACTTTTATCTGCTACCCGCACTTTCGTGTTATTGACATACGATTGTCAGCAACTGTGTTAAACATAAGCAATTAATAGTTAGGATGAACATCAGTACTATGGCATAATGGAGTATTTTGGTTAAATGAAGCTAAATTCTTGCTCCAGTTGTCGTTAAAAATGTAAACTACGTATGTCGAACTACTCTAAATTGTTATTAATTATGTTTTGTGCAGTATTTACATGATATACTCACAAGTGGGAATAATAATTATTAAATGAAAACTCCTATTTTAACCGTTTATCTACATGTGGCATTTTGCTTTTTGGAATATTGAGTATTTGCAGTGCCTTTTTTAAATTATATAAATTTTACACTTTATTAAATTATTAAAAACACGACAAAAGATTCATTCTATGTTTGAAAGACTTTTAGTGAACAAAACAAATTATACTAATTTTGCAATCGCAGATGATGACATTGACATTTGTGCTTAATTGTTTGCCCAGTTGCTACATTCGTGTTTGGGTATGGGTGGGGACGGTGGTAGTATCCCTCGTCGAGTTGAGCTTGTGCGAAATAAAAGAAAGAAGGAAATTGTTGGCAAGGTCGCTGTTCATGCAGCAAAGTGGAAACACTGTGCACTTAGCCAGCAACCTCTTCGTCAACCGATTGTTGCTTGTTTGCTTGGGAGGTGCGTAATCCTGCTTATTATTGTTTTTGCCTTAGCGCATTTATTGTATTTCCTCTACCTTCTTAGGCTGTACAACAAGGAGGCCATAATTGAAAAGCTTCTTGATGAGTCGAAATATACTAGCACAATTGCTGACCATATTAAGAAGCTGAAGGATGTCCGCGTCCTCAAACTGACACCAACTCCTAAAGAACTACAGAGTCATGAACTCTCTTCAGGATCGATCGAAAATTCCGCTGAATCCTTTTGTTGCCCAATAATGGGACAAGAAATGAATGGGTCATATCCGTTTGTTTTTTCATGGGAATGTGGGTGTGTCATCTCAAAACGAGCCGTTGATGCTGTGAAGGACTCCAACTGCCTCAATGTACGTCCTTGTGTAATTTTTTCGACGACTTTCAGTACACAATTTGATTTCAGATCATATTTTTATAGCTCAATGAGTCTTTTATAAAAAATGTTGCTTTCCACATTCAGATGTCGAGAATAATCCCGTTCTTTTGACAATACTCTGTCCATTAACTTAACTATCTCGGATACCAAAGCACCTTTTTGTGCATTTTGTAGTGTGGCACACCTCTAAAGCCAGAAAGTATAATTTTGCTTAACCCAGAAACCGAGGAGGAAATAAAAAACGCTCAACGTCGTCTTAGAGCTCACAAGGAGGCTTGCAAGAAGGTCAGTGATTTAATCATTTATTGTTTTTTTCCTTCATGCTCACTACGGCACTTATTTTGCTGAATCTCATGTATCCCGATTACTTGGTGGTATAATTTGGGTGCTTTTCTAAATACGTGTGCCGTTGAATCTACATTTCAATTTCCCTGTTTTTAGGACTAATAAGAAAGTTGTTTTGATCATCAAACTCCCTTTATTTTTTTGTATGATTTGGGAAGGTCTTTAACTCACAAGATCACACTCACTTTTTTCATTTCAAACTTCGTAATCTAAACCCACTGACGCATGCGTAACTTCTACCAATAACTGAGGTCCTTTGCCCTTCTGCTATTTCCATCGGGTTGTCACACTTATTCAGTTGGCAAATGTCAAGAACATTAGTTGATTATTTTGACTGAGTGCACCGTCTTGACAATGCCGTGTCTTGTTTTTAATTCCATTACAATCTGCTGTTTTTAATGCTTTTAAAGAATTTAGGCTCCATAGATTTTTCCTTTCCTTGCTTGCGCGCAGCCTCATAATCTTCATTAAGTACTTTGCTAAAACGATGGCGTTTTATAAGCTTTCATTTGTTTAAATGCGTCTCCATTGTTAGATGCATTGTCTATGTTTCTGCGGGCACTTGTTTCACACTCCTAAACATACAAAATGTACTATAATGAATTCTAGGAAGGAAATTTCTTATAGGAATCTAAACAACAATAAATTTCCTTATTGTGCAGAATGATTTTCCGGAATGTTGTGGGATTGTGGTCGGTTCAGTCGTTCGAGCAAAGTTGTCTCTTTGGTTGACCATTCCTTGAGCATTGGTTGGTTGCACTAGCAGGTGCGAATGGACACTGGTCAGCAAATTGTTCTATGACTGATTAGAATTGTGGGCTGGTAGCTGAGTCGAGGTTTATAAATCAGAAGTTTTTCCTTTGATTTCCGCCATTTTCCCACTTTCGTTGTCGATAAATCCTTATTGTCATATATTTACCCGTGAATACTGTGTGGAACAAGATGTGTAGTGATCCGCTTTTATTTCCTCTTCCGATAGATTAACCCATTACGTGTTGCGTGCTAATCCATTGTTCTTTTCATATTTTTTAGTCTAAGTCTTTCGTCTCAAGAGCTTCGATAAAACCAGAATTAGATGGACCAACAAAACCTGAAAAGGTACTATATCCGTGTTTGATTTATATCTTAAAGTTGGGAACCCACAAAATTAGTCTTTGCATGACACATTTTCAATTTAATGCAACTTTTTGTTGGCTTCGTCACTTTAGTTATTCTCGCGAGGTCACCTGGTTATTAAGAAAACAAAGTACCCAAAATTATTGCGTGAAACGTAGATTCGCCTATGTAATTTTGAGGTGTGTACTAGAAGCCTGTTTTTAAGATCAAGGAAATTGCTTCCAAACACTTCCTCTAGTTGCTGTCGGAGATATGCAATGCATTTTTTGACAGATTAGTATTCTGAAATGTTTTCAGGAGGAGTCCAACTCAAATACTACGGGTGATAAACGAGCTAGCGCCAGCTCAGAGTCGTTTTCGGCGGCGAAGAAACCCAAACAGACCTCGCTGAAAGAGGAGGAAATCTCAAAGAAGTCTGCGGCTGCCCCTAGGTCTTTACAATGTGACCCTAATGTATCATCCGTTTACAAATCACTTTTTACCACTTCGGAAGAGGCCCGTCGTCAACCCAAAGCGCATTGGGTTACCTTTAACCCCCTCTATTTTCGTTAATCTTTGGTCTGAATGCACATGTGATAATTCAGTCTTCTCTCTTTGATTCTTTTTGGCATCCAAGGACATTTTAGGCAAGTTATGGAACTAGTTGTGGTTGTAGTGCGCAAAAAATTATTCTCCTGGTGGTTTTCTTGTAGCCTTTGGGTGTTTCAGAAATGAAGAGCCTGTTCCAGCTGTATTAAATGTTTCTGGTTTTCACGATTGCGCATTGAGTTAGCTTGGTTGAACGCAGTTGAATTTTAACGATGAAATGGACGTTAGGCTCTTGCAATTTCTGCTCAAGAGTGCTTTTTACCGATTGGGCGCCGAATCTCTTAGCGAGTTAATCTGTGCCATTGTACGTGTTTCTTAAAGACATCCCTATTAAGTTGGCCAATGTTATACCTGACAGATCTGCGTGGACCGGGGATCTTGTGTATTTGACTGACAAACATCCTAGTTATTAAAAGAACGGAATCTCAGCGTGGGATTCTTGGCACGTGCGTTCTCAGCAACTTGCAATGGCGACCTTGGGATTTTTAATGAATGAGGAAATTGCGGACGTCTCGTTGTCTTGAACTGGTACGCAACGAACGAATGTAGTCAGCTTTGCAAATGTTTTCCTAGTGGGTGGAAGTGATTCATTTGATATATTATGTTCGTACTAATTTACGGATTAGAGTTTACACTGTTGATTTGTTTCTCAAAGATTATGCACTAATGTTAATTCTCTTACAATGAACTTCGATAAAGTTTCGAATTAAATTTCAATCACTACTGCAGTTTAGTGAAAAACTTAAGCACATGTCCAAAGATTTGAATTATAATTTCTGAAAAATAAATGCGCCGATATTTGAAAATTTTTGTTACATTTATTTCCATACTTAAAACTGATTTAAAACAACTCAAATGTAAAGCATTAATAAAAGAAATTTATAGAAGCAGTGCTTAAGCTAGTAATTCGTATAATTTAAATTTTTCTTTGTCTTATATTTTGTTTATACAGTTCAGATGCCTCACTTAGGTCGCGGTGAGGGCTGCCCGTCTTTTGTGGTTTGTGTATTTGTTAAGGCCGTTTTCGCATATTTTTCCAGGTTTTTCCTCATAGTAGTATTCAGCAAGTTATTTAAGTGATTAGTTTTGCTTATATATGTCACATTTTAACTTGATCCCTAATTACTTAAACCCTGATTCTATTTAAGAGAGTTTTTACAGGACCTTAATTTATTCAAGTAAATTATCCAAAATTTTGCATATGTTTACCGTAGTCTTACTTAGCGGCTATTCGGTGACGCTTAAGAGGGCTATTTTGTCAGCCAAGTAGTCTTATTTAACCCTATTTATAGAAAATGGAGATACCCATGTTTGACTTAGCCGTTGCTAGAAAACTGTTTAATAATCAAAATTTGTCTTAATTGGTTTTTCAGTTCACCTCTTTTTGCTGTTTTTTATCACGTACAGATATATAAAGTGAGATTTAAAGCTTATTGAACGATGGCGGATACTTTTCAGCGCCGTGATCCTTTGCCTCTTTGTGGAGCAGCTTGCTGGATGCGATACTTCCCCAATGGATTTTGGTATGAATGGAAGAAATTAGTGGTACTTGCTGTTCCTATAGTACGTTTTTTAGATTTAAACATACACATATTTGTCATTTGAGAATTTTGAAATATTTGTTTTTTCAAGTCCAGTTAATTGTGTCCGAAATTAACTTTTAACCCCTCCCCTGAATCGAAACTGTTTCTTTTTTCATTTTTCTAGACAATAAATTCTAGAATTAAAGCTAGCTTTAAATGGTAGGAACGTCCTCTAATCTGTCAGGAGGATCAACTTTATCGCAAATGCAAGTGGCTACCAATCAAATTTATGTATCACTTTATTAAATTGCCAACGTAATATTGTTTGCACTCAATGTCCGAAAGCATTTTTTTTTGAAAAATATGATCTATTTACTTGGTTGGAGCAACTCTCCTTGGTTCTCATAGCTTTCTATTATAATTGCTGAAGGCCTAATTAATGAGTCTTGTTTCACAATATATTTTTTAGTCGAATGAATACATGAACAGCTGTTGATCCTATTTAGTTAATTGTCTTTAAAAACCTACTAGATGAAACCCAATAATTTTATAGTATTTAGTGGAATTAAAAATTTATTATTTTCGTCTTTGTTACTATTGAGAGATCCGTCTGTTACATGAAATGCTTTCGCACATGACCTCTCTTTGTTTCTAGATGTTCACAAGTCTCGTCGAATACCTCATAGCGCCAGTCAGTTTGTTTTTCTGTGGCAAGCTTGGGAAGTCAGAGCTTGCTGCAGCGGGCCTTGCAATCTCACTTTTTCATACTGCAGGGGTTTCTTTCATTATGGGACTACTTACTGCCAGTGAGACCCTTTTCGCGCAAGTGAGTGTGGAATATATAGAACATCCTTGGCAAAATGGATGAATGTATGATTTTCAAAACAAACTATTGTCTATTAACAGCTTTAGTCCCAAAACCACATATTTATTCAATTGAGTAATATAAAAGGGATTGAATTAAAGGCGTCTGCCTTTGGCTTTCTCGTCAAAATATGTTTAAGCTCATTCTCCACTTACCTTATTGGAAATCTGGGTATCATTGGTTAGAATATGCATGTTTCTATACTTTTTTTGAGGTCGGCCTCGGGCTTTGTTTAACAACTACGTGCCCTAAACACCACAAAAAGGGGAAAGTTACCAATAATCTCATTACCTAATTTGGAGGAAAATTACACTGAATAATTTGAATTTAAGATTCCTACAGTTATACGCAAACTGCGGCTGTTGAATATGATTGAACAAACATTGAAACAATTGACAACAACGAAATTAGGGATGGACAACTAGAAAGTAGATAAACACTGCAAAAATCGAAGAAATTATTAGACCTACACCGATTCTAGTGAGAAAGACCTGTTGATTTGCAAGTAATAACGTTTCCCAGTTGGCATTGTTTTGTATATCGGAGTAACAATTGAGGCAACTGACTATGATCTGCCCTTATGAACGTGGTAGCAAATTGAACTTTAATCGAGACCCTCACAGGCCACCCAATCGAGCGGTGAACTTGTTTAATGATGAGACCGGTTAGATAAAAGATGTCCAAATGTTTTGCAGCTCTAAAGGAATTGTATTTGTCTACTCTTGAGAATATATTAAAAAAATTGGGTGCTAAATAAACTTTAGAGCCAAGGATTCTCAGGGTTTCGTAATGCAATCACGAAGAATAGCGCACGAATATTATGAAAAAAACTGCTGCATGGAAACTTGTTAAAATCCTCATGGGAAGTGATTCCAGGTATATGAAAGCATTTGCAGCCTTTTTAGTAATGCAAATGCGCATACTTTGAACTTTTAAATTTTCAGCTTTAAGGAGTAGGTTCAACGTAACCTGCTAAATGTTAGCTAAGCAATTGGTTATGCTGCTAGAGGTTGGGACAATGTTGTTTGGGAATATTTAGTGAAGTTAGCCATTTACGCTGGAACCCTTCTGCGAAGCCTTACGGTAATATTTATCCTTTCTATACTTTTTTTCAGACTTACGGTGGAAAAAATAAATTTAGGCTGGGAATTCAAGTCCAACGATGTAAGTATTCAACGATGAGGGCGCCTTTTAATTCATTTATTTTCTTCGATAATAACTAGAAGTGATTTTGGTGCCTTTATGGTGGATCGCACTTGCAGAAAATCAAACCAGAAACACCGCTAAATTCGTTGACATTTTCGCGACCTTGTAGATGTTATTTTTGTGACTAGCTCTTGGCAACTTTTCGTTGCTTATTTACAATTTTAGAATATCAGCAGCAACTGATGCTATAACTGCCAGTTATTATTCCATTTAATTTCTTTACTTAAAAAATCGGATAATTAAAACGATACTTGAGATGGAAAGCCTTGCTCGAAAATTGGAAACTTACTCAAAGCTCTTTTAGCGATATTTTTGAAAAGCCTATTGAATTAGCATGTTATGGCACCAAATACTCACTGCTTGTTGCAGATTCTTAGGAATTAGTACTGCCTCTAGTGTTAGGATATAAGATACCCAATGCTCTTTCATTCCAGCCTTCGTGATCCTCACTCTCTGTTGCCTCCCCTGTTGGGCCGTGCATGTAGTGATTGAGCCAATTCTGGTGGCTTCCGGTCAACCCCCTCTCATTGCAAAGTAAACAAAGGCTGTGCTTACACGTCTCATCATGACATCGAAATTCTGCCACTTTTTTATTACCATTTAAGGTACACTGGAGAGTACATATTTGGAATGATGCCTGGACTGTTCGTAAGCCACGCGCTTCTTCTATGTACATTTTTATCTTAGTTTGTTTCAACGTTTGAAATCCTTACAAAGTATGTGCAGTCACAAGTAAGTTCATCAGGTTTGACTTTTTAAAATAAATATGTGTTTAGAATAAGGTCTTACCACCACTTGTTGCCGGCATTCTCGGAAATCTCGTCAACGCCGGTGGTCACTACTTCTTTATCTATCACACCAACGTCGGAATTGTGTACGAGAGTGGGAAATTAATAAAAATGCTCGTTTCCAAAGTTCCTACGTTTCGTTCTTTTTCAGGGGATCTGCAATTTCCCAGTCCCTAGGCTATCTCTGTCAGGCTGGTTGCATGCTGCTCTACATACTTACATCTAAAATCTACCGCAACACCTGGGATGGTAAGTTTATGTAAATAAAATACTTTCACTGGTCAGATCTTGTTTTTTTTTTATGAATTAGATACGTATTTCGGTGCTGCATGGGGACACACTTAAAACAAAACTTATAGCTTAAGGTTGCTCACGCGTTGTCATTGGTGGTTTGCAAACGTGTTTTTGTTCCTTTTTTACCCTATTTGTAAGTCGAAAAAAGAGACATCCAGAATGTGCACTGCCACCAACTACAAGTTACGAGGATATTTATAGACCTCCCACTACCACGTAAGTATGCAACGAATTGGCGATGATCGATTTGGTTAGCACTATCTTGATTTCGTTTTTTTGACCAAAAAGATTCACCAATCTAACGACACGTTAAATATACTTGGGGAGCCTTGCCTTATGGTGGTACTAATGTTCGAGTTGATCTGATGGCTCCTTTTGTCGACCTCTTTAGGTCTTCACATTGAAATGTGGCATGACTGGGGGATCTGGTTCCGCCTGGCGATTCCCGGCACGGTGATGTGCGGTCTGGAGTGGTGGATATGTGAGGCCGGGAGCCTTACGGCTGGTATGCTCTGCGTGTGCATTTGTCACTCCAGCCTGTCATAGCGTTTCCTCGGAAAGATTCAGACAGAAATCTGACTTGCGATCATTTTCATCCATAAAAAACTGCCTGTCAATTAACACACTGCATCTACTGTTGACACATCGCGGAAATTCGTAGGTGTGGATTTCTGGTTAATCGGGCTGGTTTGGTACGAACAGCCAAGAGAGCAAGAAATGAACGAAACGACCGCGGGCGAAAGCTGCCATTTCCTGCTGAGCGTCTTTTAACCATGAGCCTAGATTATGCCATTCGTTTTCTTTTCCAATGCATTGGTAGGGCTGCAAATCGTGGTAATTTGTATTGGTTCAGGTGTTAATCGTGATTTTAAACTTCTCTATTGAATTCAAAAGTATACCAGAGCAACTGAGTTTGGAATGCCTTCATGGGACCGTTCCCTTTTCCACACTCTTACTGTAAACTAGTGTAACTACAATTGTATTGAATGAAATTGTAGTTACACTAGTTTATAGGAGAACCATTCGTCTCCGATGAGAATGAGTCTCGCTAAGGCTGCGATGTCAGCAAGCGTCCACTCAAATTTACCCAACACCCGATGTTGTTATCTACAACTTCCTTACTTTCATTTGCCTTCAGGTTTTCGAGGAGAACAAGCGCTAGCCGTCCAAACCATTTTAAATAACATCGAATCTCTAATATTCTGTACTGTAAGTGAAAAAAACCATTCATTTGCCCATGGATTTTGTACAATTTCTCATGTCAGCTGAAATTATGTTCAGTTTCCCATGGGGTTTGGTATCGCTGTTTGCATTCGCGTTGGGCAATTCCTTGGCTCGAATGAGACTGTTGGGCCGAAGTCGACGGCCTTCGTGGGAATAACAACCCTGGGTATGCTATGATACTTTTTTATTGTTCTACTAACCTTGTAGTAGTTCGAAGCATATAAAATCTGGCCACAACTCATTGCGAGATGCGGGGAATTGGGGGGGAAGAGCTTAAAGTGCAGATCCACACTGCAAGCGGTAATTTACTGTGGTCAAATTTGCACATTTTTAATTTCAGAAAAGTTGACTTCGAATCACCATGGCTTGCTGGCGTTATTTCGCTTCAAATTAAGACTATTTTAGATACGTTGCTTTTTTAATTTTAGTCGTTGTGGCTATTGTGAATGCTCTTATTCTCATATTTGGACGATATCACATACCACGGCTGTTCACCGATGACCCGTAAGTTTCAAACGGCCTCTTAGTCTTGTCGTTAGTTTCATCACCGCGAGCAACTTAGTCGAGGTATCTCGCTGCCTGCCGTCTCCGCCTATTTTTTGACCAGCCAGCAGGGATGCATCGTGTTTACGTAATTGTACCGATATTATAAAACAAGTTGAAAACGCGCAGTATCTCTCTCAAAAATGAACTTTTGACTCGGTACAATTCGAGTACTTACTATTAGTGAATGCGCACATGACTGTATTCATCGCCGGAGAAAATTGTGTAGGTATCTTAGTTGTTTTTTTTTTGTGTAATTCTCAGCCGCAACTACTTGAATGTAAACCTAGACTATTCATTCATTAGTAGCGTCGTTTTTGTTGTTTCTGAACGTAGTTTGATGTGTTTGTACACATTTACGTTTCAGAGGTATAATCGAGGCATCTGCTCAGGGTATGCCATCAATCATCGCATATCAATTCTTTGACTGCATAATTGTAAGTTTTGGTGTTTTCCGCATTAAGTAGCTAGGATGGACGGAAGTAGAAGCCCTTGCGGGTATGTTGGGGAAGCAGCTAAAATTACGTGGCCCCTGATTTACTAAAATCTCGAAGAACGTTGCAGCTAAAGGAAAAAATTTGTTCTACCATTGTTTCCTAGCGGCGGCAAAGTACGCTTGCGTTTAGTGGCATCAAAACCAACTAGCTGTTCTTTATCTCAGTCTCAAGAAACACGTAGGAGCTGGCTGCTTGAAGAGGATAATCAAACACAATTCAATTGCATTGCAGTGGTTTTATAACTGTCGAGAGAACCAAACGCATTGTTCATTAACGTTTGGAAATATCAAAACTTGTTCTTCGTTCTTCACACATTGAAAGTGTGATTTTTTACGATGATTTAAATCTTTAATTCGTTCGTTTCAAAACTTAAAGCTCCCCCAACGTACACTTTGACATTGATGTCTTTCTGAAGGCGAATAAATTCAGGTTGCTGGTTTAAATTTGTGAGTTCGGGGTTTGATCATCTCCCGCCCTAACTGAGGGATTTAGGTTGCCATGCAGCCTCTCCTCCTTGCCACGTGTCCCTCTTCTCATCATGGGTGCTGCGAGTAAAATCATCGTTGTCGTCCCCAACACTCGTTTCAGGGCGTCTTTTGGATTCGCGCGCCTTTCACCTTTGTCATAATGGCTCTTGAACTGTCCTGTGTGCGCTACGTTCGCGCACCTATATGTATTTCCTTTACTTTTCTGCTTTTGCTTTAACTTCCGTTCTGTTCTACCCGCGTCCGGCTCACTTGTTTGTCTCCCTTTTCTTGGGGTGTCGGGTAAGTCGCCTTCGCAACAAAACTAAATCTCTGATATCCAGTCCTTAATGGACGTGATCAAAGGTTTCGTTTGTTAACAAAATACGAGAAGAGACTTATATCAGTGGGCCAGCATATTATTTATTCTAAAATAATTGTTGCGAAATTCCATTGGAAATTCAAATCATTCACTGCACAAAGTTGTGGTGGTTAATTTGATGTCTGTTGCCATTTGTAGGGTGTTTGCAGTGGCGTGATTCGAGGTGTCGGAATGCAAAGGTTTGGAGCCATTGTTTGCTGCGTCTGTATGTACATGGTTGGTGGACCACTTGCTCTCTGTCTGCTGCTGTTAACTGATCTGCTTGTACCAGGTAATGAACAGCATCCTCCCTTGAATGTACAGTTGAAGCTGAGACTCTTGCGTGGCAAAATTAATTAATTTTTTTGAATTTCTGTGCTTTTATCAGTCTTAATGTAGTGATCTACATGAACCAGAACTACGTCATGAACAGCGTTAACAATTTGCTTAACGCATAACAGGCTTCGAAGTAGGGTTCTGGCGTTACTTGGCATACCCGTTGGCGCTTGTAGTTGTAAATTCCAATGCACCAAGTTGTGTGACGAAGGCGGACCCTAGCCTTCTGCAAGAGGGGTCGATTGATGCCACATTCCCTTTAACTTTAGCAAATATACTTTTGAGAAAATCCGTGAATGTTTGGAAAAACCGAAGGTAATATAAAGTCAAGTTTTTAGAACACCAGTTATAGGTACATTGCAAAAAAATAAGCTGTTTTGATTTCTATACGCACTACCTCTGCTGATAAAATCACTGTTTTATTCCCCGATCATGGCCGTGCTATTAAACGGCGAAATTTTGTGAGTTAAACGTGTGGCACATGCGCCTTTGTTTGCTTCCATGTTTGATACTGAATTATCCTCTGCAGACTTAATTTGCAATATTTACAATCTTGAAAGTTTGGATTGAACCATTCGGATCTAACCGGTGTCAAAAATTGTAAAGTACTTTACACTTTTGCCTTGTCTAGTTAAACAAATTGTGAATATGGAAGTTCGGAAACGGCAAAAATTCACCCTATGTATTTCACCACAGGTGGTGATAAGGCGTGCAGTATTTGTCGGTCTGACGCATGACAATGTATTAGGGTTTTTCGGGTTCTGAATCACCAATGATAATCACGAGCGCCCCAATCAACCATTAACCGGCGGGTCGATTCACACATCCCTTGTTTAACGCGAATCACCACCTTCTAGCACGAAGACAGCCTTGTTCAGAAGGCTTTTACTTAACTGCCTTTAAATCCGTTTATTTATACATGGTTTGAATGCAGTTAAGGTGGAGAACGTCTTTCAAGGCAAACGAGCCAATCATCCAAGGGTGGTAGCTGTGAGTACAGGAAAATGTGTGCATAAACACAAAAAAGAGAGAAACCAAAAAACTGTCAAGATCATGGAAAGTATAGAATTCCTGCTCATGCTTATCTCCCCAACAGCTCATGGCGCTGCCAAGTCTCTCTGGAAGAAATGCTGCCTTTCTGGTAACTGGCTCATGCACTTGGTTTGGGAAGTGCTCATGCACTTGTTGTGTTGTGCACAAGAGAGAGTTTAGCAAGATTCACGGTAGTTGCATTTTAAAAATCAGAACGCAAAATTATTTTCTGGTATTATTATCGGTGTTGGTTGATACAAGGATCTCAAAACATAGGCCATGCTTGCTTGACTCTGATATGAGCTGCGGAAAGATTTGTAGAACCTTTGTAGTGAAACTAGTGAAATAATGCATATCCATATGTGTGATTAGCATTAGTTTCCACTTAGATTTTTGACTTTTTTTTAGGTTTCTGGTGGGGTCTGTCGATCGGAATGGCACTTGAGTCTGTAATCTACATTATTCAGTGTTGTCGAATAGATTGGGTGAAGATGTGTGAAGACGTACGTCATTTTTGCAGGACATGGACTTTGCGTATGCAAGTCTGCTCGCAAACTCGTGTCGCTGATAACCATCCATTTTTTCCCCGTTTAGCTATTCTTTAAGTTTACCGCTACTGCCAAGTCAGGATGCTTAGGGTATTTTGTAAAAACTAACCTTTCCGCTGTCGAAATGACAAATTTTAATGTATGTGTACGTCTGATGATTTCATTCTCGCGACTTATATAAAAATTTAATAGAGTGAAGCAACTTTAATTGAACGCCTGCGTATTTCATCAAATTGCTTATTAATTCCGCTTTAAGTGATTTTTTTATTTTTTAAGGCTGCAAAAAGAACGGAAATCAAATTTGTCGCCAGAAAAATATCAGGTACGATAGGTTATGTTGTAACTCACTGGCACGCAAGTTGATGTAGGTATGGTCATGCTAGAGGAAGGTTTTTTTTTAAATCACATATTAATGCCACCGCGTCAACAGCGTCCATCGAACCAAAGGATACCAGTGTAATTGTTCGTTTAAAATGCTCTTATGTCACATCAAGTCAAAACGTCACTCACAATCGAGGCTTTCTAATGAAATGCTCTAGTTTCTCCGAGTACTTTGAATAGGTATTTTGGTTGTCATTAAGTTCATTTTGTCGGCCTCTTTGCGGCGGACCACAGTCTCCGTAAGGCTGTGCGTTCTTAGATCTGCTACCTGTTGTTATCAGAAAGCTTCAGTTCACAATATGATTGCTTGGTCCTCCGGAAGGCCTGTAGATGGGCATAACCCTTGAAAATTTAGTTGAGTAAATGCTGTAATTTATTTCTGAATTGATTTTATGGGTAAATCTAGTCCATTTAAAACAATGTGCTATCATTAGGCCATGGCCGCATGCATTATTGTAACAAGATTTTGTGTGTCAACCTGAGCGTTTTGGATGCATAACATTGAAAAGACGAAACATTCTGGATTTTATAAAGGGGGACTTAATGATGCCAGAAACATTTGCTGTTATGCTGACGTTGAAGGCACAGGGTGGGATCGGGGGAAATTAACTTCATACTGCGTGCAGCACCGGTAAATGTGCAGTGCTAATGCACAGCGGGCGAGAGGTCATTAGTCACAATCCAATCAAAATGCGAGTAGCATTGTCGTCTTGTGGGTTTCACTAGCGCTAACCAAGGGTAGTGTCTGATTACACAACTCTCTACTTAACCTCGGGATGTTTTTTTAAACTACTTTAAAGTAACATCTTAAATTAACGTAAATGAACACATTAAAAATATGGTATGTTCGACAAATTGTTGGTCGAATTTAAAGTTTTTGGACTGCTGCTCTCTCGACACCCACCTATGCGAATTCCTTCACTGGCTTAGTGGCTTTAACTTGTGTCCTAGTAAACTGGAATAAATCCGTGTGTAAAAAGCACATCCTCATTCAGCAAAAACTCGGTGGTTTTCGAACCCCAAAAATGCTGGTCTTGGAGACGCCAGGGTTCAGCAATTTACTCTCCCCAAACCCATGCACATAGCGATGCGTTGACGAGGAAAATTCATTCTGGTTCTCCCGCAGAGGTGGTTTTATGTCTGATTGGACGACTTAGGTCTGTGCCATCCTCTTTACCTACTACCATTTAATGTCGCTTTTAACACTAGAAGCAGCCATTGATATAGCACTTCTATTTTTGGTAACACAAGAAAGCTACGGTTCTTTTAGTTACTTCCCTTGACTTTTATTTTTGACATTTCAAACTTCAGAACTCCGTTAATTTATGAATTTCAGCTCATGTAATAATGAGACACGAAGTCATTGGTGAACTCAAACGACATAATATCTCCTAATGACTCATAGTGCTTTCTTGTTTGTAATATTAACTACATGCACAATTTGTGTCCGCCTTATGTTATTCAATCATAAATAACAAAAATTATCATTTAAATCTGGTCAAGGGAATATCATGGAATTTCATTTCATGTTCATTTTACTGCTATAGTTTGCAGTCGTGATGACCATCGAATTTTGACAATATGACGATTGGTTTTCATGTTTTGTGGCCCATCTCCGATATTTTTTTAGGAAATTATGACCTGGATGAAGATGGCTCTGAATCGGAATTGAATGAGGGTGTTGTAAAAAATCCTAGACTCTTAAAGGCATGCACACCTCGTCTTCTGATTTCCCGACTTCTGTTGATTTTCACTTTTGCGGCACTTCTGGTAGCTGCCATCTGCTGCAGGTACTTGATTGATTGGTCGACGCACTTCCAAAGCCACTGTCTTCTTACAAACGGCTCCCTTATTCCTCTTCCGAACCGAGAGGTGGCCGGAGATTTCCCCTGCTTGCGGGTCATTCCCTAAGCACAATTATCCATCATTTAGATGCCGTACTTTGATTCATCTTCGTTGAACTAAATTATATTACAGGTGGTCAGTGTTTACTTTGTGTATGACAATATTTTTTAGTTCATATTTTTAACTTGGGCTAGTTCACAGGGCTTAATGTTCAGCTGGTATGTGTACCATTATCCTGGAAAGCTAAAATCAGTGGTGAGGCATGTGTGAACTCCATTCTGTGGTCCAGGATAGCAAATTGCCGAAGGTTGTTCGCTTGGGCCGCTTTGTCACGCCACGCTTCAGTCACCTCCGTAGCCACATAAGTGAACATGAACATGTTTCCACTGCCTATAATCGTACACTCTCAACCAGCGACAGTCGGTTTGCACTCGGTGGCTTTGCGTCTCAGCACATTATGCGCAACTCGATTGACTTGTTCGATGCCCGGAGGGGTCCTGAAGGGGGTTTTGGCTGGCGGCGTTACTTGTCCGTTTTGCTTTTACTGCTAGGTAATCGTCGTCGTCGTTGTTGTTGTCGTCGTCTTCAATGTAACAGGAAACTGCAACATCAAATTGAAAAGAGGTTATTCGCCGTGGCGGTTCCACGCACCCTGCAACATACGTTGTTCAGCCTTGTTGGCCACAGCAAAGGCCCTTCTAGAATTGATAAAGTCCGCATGCTGTCCCTTGCAACTGTCCATTCGGCCTGACGAAAATTTGGTCTTTGAAAGAATTCTACCGCTTAACAGTTTCTCGTGAGTTTGTGTAAGCTTGGCTAGGCATCCACTGCGTCCTGTCGACCACCGTTTTTCCCTTTGCTAACAGGTGGCTACGTCGGCTAGGCTACTAGTCAGTGAAGTAACTTTGGTGAAGCTCATTGGAAGGATTGCGAAAATCGAACAGTAAAGTTGTTGTGGGGCCTAAAACTGCCCATGGTAGCAGTGTTGTGGCTTTAAGATTTTGAGCTCCCAGTCAGGTGCGAAAGGGTGTGGAGAGGTGTTTGGTGATGTCCTCCAAATTCTCCCCAAGTTTAGTTTCACAGTGTTCCGCATCTGGTAATGGTGTGTAGCCAATGTAGATTTCCCAGCACTCTCACACATTTTGCTGTGACAGAATTGGGGTCGATCGTTGCTGTGGTTGTTCTCGAAGTGGGTGGCCATGTCATGACACATGGCTTTCTCCTAGATGGTTATTTGGTAGTCCAACTGACAAGCAGGGAGTTACCGTGTGTCATTTTGATATCCTGCCACGGGATTCAATTCAGCGTCTCCTGCGTCTGCTATCAAAACCATCGTTGTTTCCATCCATTGTGTTTTCAGTACTGTGTCTGCTGACATCTCGAGGCTGCCTGCCGAGTATAGGAGCATGTTGAAGAGAGAACACCATGAGGTGGATCCAGCCGATTATCTACCTACGCAGCCTAGTGTATCTAGTCAGGTGTGTAGATGCATGCACGCACGCAGTGTTTGGGTGTAGAAAATTGAGGGGTAATTAGGGCCAGGAGGATGCACGAAGGTGAACGCAGTAGCAGCTGTGGAACAAGCTGGAAGCATGAACAAATGTCAAAAAACCCAATGCCGTGAGTAGACAGTTGTGGGCTTGTGGAAGCGATCATCTCCCATATGTCCACTCGCACTGCTGTTAGTCGTGATAATAACAATAGTAATAAAGCCCAAGGCATTCCCCTTCTTTTTTTGTAGTATAAGTGATGCAACACCCTAAACTGTCTGTATCTTGCGAGACGTCTTAGTTCCGAAGGCAGTTGGAAAGTGGCGTGTCGCATTAGCATTTGGCGGAGAACATGGACTTCGTTGTCAATCATTTTTCTGAATTTCAAACTGTGATCTTTTTGTCGTTAAGGGTTGATAATCGGCGAGTAAATAAGCCGTTGTTTGTAGATGCCAGGATTGAAGGTGTGCATTGGTAGAGGTGCCTCGAAGGCAATAAAATTTGGTCCAAGTTGGGGCAACGCGTAAATACTTTTTTTGGAAATCGTGGGTTGCGAAGCAAACTGTGCGGATGTGAAACATGCAAAAGCTTCGCTGAAACTTAAGACCAAATTGTCACTGATGCTCTGAGCAGCCGCATGCACTGGTGACAGTGATTGGCGACGTCCCGACGTCGTAACCGCCTCTCGTTCTCCGCTATTCTAGACAAATGGATCAACGCGTTAAAATTGTCCTACATCGCACACGTGGCAATCCTAATTGGCCAGATGTTTGCGGCAGCAGTGAAGAACGACCTCTCCGAACCCGCATATCACACGCTATGAGATGGTTTTCGAGAAAGTGGCTAACTGAGCGTTGTAGATTTTTTTCAGGTGTTAATGAAAGGCAGGTGCACAAGTGCTTAGGGTTTTGGGTTGTTGTAGTTAGGGGTCTAAAGTAAGCGAATGGCATATGTGGAAACGGATGCTCACAACACAAATCTGTTTGGTGCAATTTATGTCCACTTTTGACATCTAAGTTTTAACTGACACAAGTACATTTTCAGTCGTTTTACGGTTGCAGCAGATTATGTAACTGTGTACGGTAGTCCTGTGTACGTCTCCGATGGTGGATCTGCTCTTCACCTCAGAACATGGACAATTTCCACGTTTGGTGGAACTCGCCACCTTTGTATCGGGCGCTGGAAGGTGGGAATGCACAGTTGGTAGTTCGTAGGGGTGAAACAACCATTAAGGCTTTCTTATAAACGATATTGAATGAAATTACTGACACAGGATGGACGAGGGTCAATGAATGACGAGCTGTCCTTCATCGGTTCTAGCTCAGTCCTGCTCGCTGTGCTCATTGTAGCCCTAGGGTGTAATTTAGCAGGCTGAATGGAGACAATCAATTATACTGTCATGAATCCAAAGTTAATGCTTGTCGCGTCATTGTGGTCTTTCTGTGGAATTGTCGTTGTTGGCTTAATGGACCAGCACAACCCGAGACTGGTCTAGAATAGGCTACTGTAGTACAAATTGTTTGAAGTGCTCTCAGCATGTTGGCGGGACTACAAATCATCTGTAAGCATTAAAGTAACGCTGTTGTTTTTCTTGAAGGACCATTTCGACGAAATCAAAAGTTTGCTAGAAGAATTCTCCTACATGGTCTACAATTTACTCAAAGTTGCAGGGCCTAATAAGAAGCAGGTGGAAACTGACGGAGGCAACGGCAAGCTGTTTCATTCCTCGAGTTCTTCTAGAAGAGACAGTGTTGTTTCGTCCCTGCAACCTGACGTGGCGGTACTAAAGGCGCTGTGTTTGGAAGCGGAGTTTCACTGGGTGCTGAGGAACCAAACCGAGCGTCTAGCCTTGAAGCTGGCCGACTTTTGTGAATCTCAAGCAAAGCTCCTTGAAGAGGATGCTGGGTTGTGTAGGAAAGCCGCTAGCGCATTCAGGTTTATGGACTAACTGTACTACTAGCAAATCCGAGAGAGTTTGTCTGCGATTTCAATGAAGGCATTCTTTTCCTGATTAGAATTCCACCAAAGGCGAGTTTCCAAATTGACTCACCGGTCACGACTATCTGAGTACATTTAAATATGCTCGTGTTTGAAATAAATCTGAAGAACACAGCGTCTGATAACGGTTATCTGCTGCTGCAATTCTTACGTTGTGCAAATCCTTGGGCAATGCGATTTACCACTTTGAATTATACGTTTTGTGGAACTGAAGTAACCGCAAATAAATTATGCATGCGCCTGAGATGCGAAAGCGGATTTATGTGTTTCATGGGCAGAGAGCCACACCATGTTGCTTCCATGATTAAAACCGCCTGTCTTGAGAGTGCGTTTGAAATAGCCTGCTTGGAGAAAGCAATTCGTGGCGGGGCCTCAAAGTTAGCAGCCTTCAGCTGAGCAGCGAATCACTAACGGGGGTATAAATGCTCGCAGAATAATCACCATGAGTTGGAAGGAAGCTTCGGAGCACGGTTCTTACTGGCTGTAGAAAGAAAGGAAGACCAGTGACCATTGCTAGCCTTCGCGAGTCGTATTCGTGTACACTTGATTAATAAAAGGCAAAGAGGAAACACTATCAGCGAATCACAAGGTACGTCTAGATGTGGAAGCAGTCATAAATGTGTGCATTGGTGTGAGTTGCTGGGCTAGTTTACAGTATTCCTCCATTTGGCACAAGCACACACCAGGCTTTTCAAGCATATTTTCAATCCCAATTTCACCAAATACGAGTTGTATATACCTTGGGTGAGTTGGTAGGCAATCCGAAAGTAATCTAACTCATGCAAGAACTCTCGTTGTGGTTGAGGGTTTTTTACTGAACTTCGTCGCCTATGATGTTACAGGAGTTGTCTCACAATTTTTGGTTCGGGTCATCCGAAGTCAACGTCTCTCTCATTGGCTCGTTGAGTGGATTGGATCTAATGGTGCCTCTGTTGTTAGTGGAGAATTCCATTAGTACTAAATGTAAACCTTAGGTACAGATTCTAAATGGTAGAATAAGGGTGAAATTGCATTTGTTGGTTTTTAATAGCAGTGAATGTTGGACGACTCTGCTAGTTGAAACCACTGTTAATATATTCGCAAGGTTTACTGAACAACAACAATGTCAATTTTGATTTACCTTATCCACTAAATGAGTTGCTGTCCTGGCAAATTCCACTGTCACTTCGTAAAGATGGTTGGCAGACAGGCCTTCTTAGTTGACCTATCAAAACGGCTGATTCTGGC